GCGCCATCAATCAATTAATTGAGTTCGAAATATTGCAATTAATTGCCCCCACAATCAATTATTCGGTAGGCCTGATATAAAATCATTCTTTAGTTTTAGCAATCAGGATTACTGATAATCAGTCAATACGTAAAAATTTCCGTCTTGCTCTTAATAATGATAACTGACTGTTAACGTACGCGTGCGTAAATAAATTACGCGATAATTGAGAGCTATTTTTGAATCACTATAAATATCACGAAATAAATTTCTACTGTCGCACGCTTAGTTTTTTTTTATTTCTGGAACGTCATGGACTTATCAGGTATATATCAATCAGAAGAAGAAGAAACGCTTGCCGAACAACATAATCATGTTGTTAATCTGTTACAACTTAAAAAAAACCAACCACACGACAAGTCATGTACTATAGAGTTCCTCGACGAGGCACTGTATTATGTTATTAGAAGTCATAAAGAAGACTCTTCGCGACATTTGTTCTGCACTCCTAATTTGTCCAAGATTACAATTGAAATGATACCATTATTTGCAATACCTGAACAAGAAGATATTTTACAATTTCGTCAAATAATTGAGGATGAATTAATAGAATGTTTCTCGTGTGTTGAAGTATTTCATGCTGAAAAAAAGCAACTCTATAACAGGTAACCTGACTTCATATTTATAATAACTTCAAACCATGTCGAACGGGTTTTGACTTTTTTGCTTTTTGCCAGATTTTCAAAGGTATACATTAATGAGAAAACTAATGTAGACAACTTCTTCTCAAATTTAAAAAAATGGATTAAATCACGAGTATATTATGAGTTAGAGATGATAAAACAAAACTTAGATCATGTAGATCCTGTTCAGCTGATAGCTTCTCCAAATGACGCTAGAATTACGACGGCCTTTTTAGAAATACTCCTCGATCCATTTTTATTAATAGGCTTGAATAATTTGTTCGTTGACATTTTGGTACATTTCAAAGCCGACGAGTCATTCAAATTAACGTACCGTTATTTGCCGGGTGTACTCATCTCCACGCTACATGAGAGAGCTGAAGTAAGAAATTGGGCACGGGCATCACTACAGGAAATGACTAAGCCTCTTGAGATGAAAGAATTTCAAAGCTGTGCTTCCTTCGCTTCGTCAATTCAGGCTATTTTGATTAAGCTTAGGGATTTCAATGATTCTCCTGATAAGGCTACAATCCAATTTATACTTACAAAAAATTTGGCCGATGCTTGGGAAGGTGTTAACTTAATATTATCTGTCATGGATCCGAATATAATTCTAAAAAACTTCTTTGAACGTGATTTAAACATAATTCAGATCCTCTGCAATCATCTACAATCATCTTCCAATATCGATGAACGTGTTTTCATTGATATACTTGGCTGTTTGGAAATTCTTATAGACAAAATTGGTTCCCAACTTTGGAATCACATATCATATTGGGCCTTAATATTGTTTCAGAGTTTGTTTATTGCATACTCTTCTATCAGGTCAAATTCATCATCTCCAAAAGAACTTTATGAAATTTTCATAAAATTTTTGCAAAAATTAAGACAAATGTTTCCCGATATTAAACCATCAGAAGTGCTGGAAGAAACTGCTTCTGTGGAAACCATAACTTTGTCAATTTTAAATGAAAATCTGAATGTCATGGAAGACATTTATATTAAATGTCATTCATCTACTTATGATTATGGTTCAATGCTCAGTATACAAATTAGAGGAATTGTATGGAATATAGCACTCATTGAAACATTCGAAAATATTAATACATCCGGAGAACAATGTTCAGAAATGAATGTACTTTTACTTAAGTGCATTCACAAACTTGTACTCATGGACATAATAGAGACTGGACGCCATAATGATAAAGATCTATTGACTTTTTTCGTCGATCCATTAAATAAACTACGAGAACAAATCGATAGATTTTTAAAGAAACTTTGTAATGAAGATTCGAAAATAATTCATACCATTTTACCCATCGAAGAGATCGCCCCTTCGATGATTCATTTACTCTTTTCAATAAACGGAGAATTCATGATTGAAAGTCTAACACTTTTGAAAAAAATGTACCCGATCAACACTTATGTAGAATTGGTTCAAAAAATCACTGCACCTATTATAGAAGGGATAATAGGTGTCCTTCATACATTCGCCAAATGGACTGAAATCGGGTGTGATACTTTTAAATTGGCTGGAAGTATAAAGCAACTATTATCGGATGCATTTTTTCAACCTATATTGGGTGAATGGGGCATATCTAAAACTCAGTCATTGTCTCAAGATCTCATTTCATTGATTCATAGATATTGGGATGCTTCATGGTGTGCGTTTACTCAAGTGTTCAAAAAATATGATGATTCAGTTTCTGTAACAATTCATGAAGAGGTTATTGTTCAATTATCTAATTACGCGGAATTAGCGACTCGTATGTTACAGCGACATTCAGATCCAGCTTTTGGTTCTATCGATTCTCTTAGTCTGACAGATCCATTTTGTCAAGCTCTAAAATACATTATTGGTTTGTTAGAATGCAACAACCTTGATCTAATACAAAAATTACACCGATTAACTTGTGAAATACTTTATGTTCTGACTAAATATGAGTTAACTGTAGATAGTACTTTGTATGTTAAATTGATGAGAGTTTCAAACGAAGGTCACTTGGCTGTTGATGAGCGAAATGAATTGCATGCCGCATTATCCAAGCATGTAACGAACGGACGTTTATTAGAAACATTGTACGAAAATAGAGAAAGTTCATACATGGATACATCAATATCATTACCATACACGGGTACATCATCACCATTACCATACACGGGTACATCAACACCATTACCATACACGGGTACATCAACACCATTATCATACACGAGTACATCAACACCATTATCATACACGGGTACATCAACATCATTGTCATATATGGATACATCAATCTCATTCTCTGATAACACTACAGCACCAACAAAGGAAATTAAAAAACCCATAAAATCTATTTTATATGCAAGGGAAAAGGGTGACTCACAAAAGAGAGTTCCCAAAAAAGTACGGTTTGAATGATCATTAGGGAATTATGTACAGCAAGTATTACCAGATATTATCAATAAAATGTAATACTTGAGAATATGCGAAAAGATTTGATAAAAAAATTTTTTTAAAAAATGCGTTTACCCCATGTTATTAGAAAATAAGGGTAATTTCACAGCACCAATATGGGTAATTAAAAAAATACAATTGTGACGATAAGTTTCTTTATTGTACAAAATCGGTTGACTTCTAAATTAATGCTTCCGCATAAAGTTACTAATTAAATTAGTACAAACTACAATACCACGTAACAAAGTTAATTCTTACTAAAAAAATATTATAGTAAAATAGATTTGGAAAAGATATCTATTTACTAAAAATTGATTTTTTTTAATGAAATCTCAGAATAATATGAATAGCATGGGATATAGTCTAATAGAATTATATTATTTGCAGTATAATTATTTTACTATAGTAAAAGCAAAGGTTGTGGTTTTTATAATATATGATTACTTAACAATAGGCAACTTTTTTTTTTTTGTACACAAAATTGCAAAAATTAAATATTAACAAAAACACATAAAGGCTATTAAGAAACTGAACTTGTTGCTCTAAGAAAAAGAAAAAAGATTATAAAAAATATTTAATCTCTTAAAAGATTTGAGCAAGAACAAAAGTGACAAAAATATAGAAAAAAATATAAAAAAATTGTTGATAATTTTTGCTCTTTGCAAGTTTTTTGAAAATTCAGTCTTGAACTTATAATGCAATCTATTTTGATTATATAAGATTTACAACATATAATAAAGAATAAACAGAGAGTATAACAACTTAGTAAAGTAGTTAAGTTGTCGTATTTTTAAGTGATATATTGGCTAGATAGGGGTTTAAAACCTACTAGTAACAAATTTTAAATATTTATTTATATAATAGATACTGTCTTTTGACAATTAGTTAAAACAGAATCTCTGTAATCTTGGTAATATCTAGTGGTGCAGATATTTAAAATCTTAAGGGTAGTTATTCTTAGTACAACTATGATGGCAATACAGCACTTTTGCTATATAAGTGGAAGTGTCATGTGTTGTATAAACATCATATATCATATAAGTACTATATGCTGTGTAAGTATTATATGTCATTGTTATGATCAGAGAAAGATATAAACAATCTTAAACCAATTTAGCTTTAATCATGAACTATATAGTAATTGAGGTCGAATAGTTTTAAATCATTAAATTAACACACATTATTATAATTTATAAGGTTTCTTTTTATTAACATAAATCAATATATCAGATTATTAACAATAATATTAATACTATAAACAACTTGTTTTTCTCTTCAGACTAAAACCATATCTTTATATATTTTTAATTTGTACTGGGTTTTAATCACTTACTGAGGGTTTAGATTACATTGTTGAAAGTTTAAACCACTTGTTGAGAGTTATAATCTCTTCTCTGAGAGTTATTTATCCTAATTGGAAGTTAAAATCATCCAACAATGTCACAGACTATACTAAAATAAGAAATTAATAAAATATGATAAATATTGATACTAACAAAAAAAGAAATTTGGTACGTAATATCGATCCATGTTTATGTCCATATGATAGAGTTATAATTATTGTATGAAAATATATTGATAACATAAATAGTAAAACATATAAAATTCAAATTGTAATAATACTTGAATTGGCAGACCTGTACAAATAAAATCATATCAATTGGATTCATTTTAACATGCTCTTTAAAGTAACAATATTTATTTTTTTTATTTTCATTATTTGAAGAATAGCAGTAGATCAAAATAATACCAAAATTCTTGTTTTTGATGTATCTTTAATAAAAATATCAAAAATGTAACTATGAACTTTCTAACAATGATGACAAACATAAAATTCGAAGATATGTTTTTGATATTTTTATTAAAAATGCATCAATAATGAGAATTTTAGTATCACTTTGAGTTCTCCGCTACTCTCCAAACAATAAAAATAAAAAAAACAAGCATTGTTATTTTAAAAAGCATATTAAAACGAACCTAATAGATATAATTTTATTTGTACAGATCTGCTAGTTCAAATGTTATTACAATTTGAATTTTATATGTTTTACTATTTTATGCTATCGATATATATTCATACAGTAATTATAAAAAGCTTGACTAATAATCATCACTATATGATCTGTACTACAGTCAAGGATTTTACTAAATTAGAAAATCATATTCTAGAATGATCTCTGTGTCATTTCATGAATTTGATTGGTCATGTAACATTTTTTTTACCGTGGAATTTTTTGATATTTTATTTTTATTCAATATTAAATGATATTTGATTAGCTAATATAAGATGTTTACTTTAAATGATCCTATTTAATCCTTCACAATAAGCTATTATAAAAAAAGCAAATGATAACTAATTTTTTTTAATTAATAAATAAATTTTGTTGTGGTTAAATTTGATTGGTCAATTACACATGATTTTCATACAACCAAATGATCTAGAATCATGTGATCAATATTTTTTTACCATACAAGGTGTGATCTATATTGTCTATATTTGACAAAATCTCTGACTGTACTATGTTTGTAATTAGACTTGTATCGAACACTTCAATATGATATCTCTGTAGCATACTATTTTATTCACAGTATATTACTCCATTCACAGTATACTACCTCATTCATATTATAACAGTATACTACACTACTCACGACAATCTACTTAACAGCAATATGATCTTGAGGTAGTACAACTCCTGCATCATAACTGTAATACTATAGGTAGTCACTACTTTGAGAAATGTTTGTACTACTAATAATACCAACAAGATTAAGAGATTATAGAGCATTTGTATAATATATAAATTACACAATTATACAAATAAGTTTTTATGATCATATTAATTCAAGGAATTAGAAAGATAGATGTCTGCTTAGCAAGATCCAAATAGAAAGATAGTACAAATCTTTAACAGTATTACATAAAGAATTACTATCAAAAAAACTAGCAAAACTGAATGGAACCAAAGTATTTGGTAAGATATTTTATCAACCAGATTACCAAAAGAGTAATTAAAAGAAAAATCTAACTGTGAAAACCAGGAGCAGGTTACAGCTCTTCTAGATCATCTGAATTAGTAGTTTAAATAGTTAGAGGTATTGTTGATAGTCTGTAAAATATATTATAATGTAGTGTTGTTAGACCTTTGGTTAACAAACTACAATACTTGACTATACATGCTAATGAAATTATTTTAGGTTTCAGGGTATAAAAATTAAATTTTGAAGACGAAATTGTTTTTGACCTATTTTACTTAAAAGATGAATTTTTTTAACACTTTTTTTGAAGAGACGAAATTATAAAAATATATCTAAATTAGATTTGCTCTTGCATATAATTAATTTTAAATTGCTCTAATGAAGATGAAATAGGGTTTTTTTAAAACCTATTTCAGTAACATGTATATACTTGACTAGATATTCAAGTAGTTAAAAAATATATTTTACAGTATATAATTTTATAATAGAAAATAATTTATAAAAAAATAAAATATTATTAACTTATTGCCAATGTGATTTTAATAAAAAAAGGTTATAACCAACAATTTATAGACTAAAGATAGATTTTATTAACTCAAAGAATATTTAAAAGAATAACACAAATAAAACAAATAGAATAACTCAAGAAAAATACAATAATTTCAAGAAAAATATCACAATATTATAAAAAACAGATAGAAAATATAACAAAATTTAAAGAAAAAAATAAGAATAACCCAAGATTCAAGACAAAAATTATAAGCAGTATATCAAAAATAAAGTATTATAATAATTAAAATATAGGGACCAACTGTCCCTTTGCCTTAAAGAAAGTGTAGAAGTTTAAATATCTTTTGATAGTACTATGATACTATAAAGTAATATTATACAATAAAGCAATAATATTACAAATTATTGTAATAATGAAATAAATCATTATAATAATAAAA